GAAATAAGTGTTGTAGATACTATGGTTGAGCAGGGATGTAAAACTTGATTCTGAAAAATGCTTCGAAGAAGTTTTCTCAGAGTTTCTCATGGTCTCAACGATGTATCAACTTCATGGTAAATCTTCAATGAATGCACGTCAAGAGCAGAAGCTCATCGGCCAGTTATGAATTGACTATCGATGCGAAGCCGCCACGCGAAAAAAATAAGGCCGATTTTCGCTTTTTTTGCACCACATTGGGATGGCTTACGTGACACCTAGAGTGGAGTTTATTTTGACAATGAGACCCTGTTCATTGAAAAATAAGTCTAAAATTTGCAAACGAAGCCAAAATTCGCTTTTCCTCATCACTGCAACCACTTCTTGCTGACCGCTCTGGTCAAGTCCTCAAGTAGTAAGTTTGTTGAGGTTGTAGTCAGATGACTTGGGTACTGAGGTGAGATTTTTTGGGCGTGTTGCCTCAGATCATTATGCAAGTGGAAAGCAAAGCTACAAGCCAATAGTTCCTTACATCTTCGTAAAACCGAAGAGGCACAAAAGATGGCTGTGTTGATAATGTGGGTCATTAGGGTTGTTAGCAGAATTCTTTGAGACGTAAATGCTTTTTTCCAAATGGTTTCCTTTTATCTTAGTGGCGCGCCCAGATAGGTCACAGCCAAATTCTTCTGTGCAAAAATGGGAATCGAGTGGTGTTATCTCTCTACACGAACTTGTTATATTTAGGTGCCCTTAGCTAAAATTACTGCACAACGAGTACGGGTATGAAAATAAAACGAAAGGTAGGGGATCAAAACTTCCTAACCATCATGGAGGAAGCTGTTTGGAGGAAGTATTCTGTCCTCGATGACCTGGTCGGCGTCTAATTACATATCTCCTTCACTTTGTTGGTCATTCCTTTCGCCTATTCTATCTATGAGATGACATTGTCATCGCAATAGCGTCCCATAACGAAGTTTCAAATTTGACTGCTTGACAACTTTGGCTGCATCAGTGCAAAGTGCCGCGTTTGAACACTAAGAATTCACTCTACATTTCTAAGTATGATATTTTATATGGTCGAGAGAACCTTTTATCCTCGAGGAAGACCCCATTATCTTAAATAGCGCTATCTCTACTTTTGGAGGTTTAGATTAAAAATAAGTAGCACGAAAGTCAGCGTTTTCAGGGTATTTTGTTGAATAATTTATTTAAGGTCAGAGATATTTACCACATTTCGACAGAGAGGCTGTCAAGAGAAAGGATACTAGAGGTTGATTTAAAGAAGTTCAAGGAGGCATTAATATGGACGGCACACCTCGCTCTACGCAGTTTACCACATTCGGTGGAGACCGAAGACCTTTTGGGAAAGTCCATTCGAGTTACAGGAATGAGCGAATGTCAGTGCACTGCTTGTGCTCATCGGAGAAAGGTCGCTGATCATATTCATGCCCAGCGGGATTCTTCCTTGGAAACTGCCTTCAAATGTTCCGCTTAAAGCGAGGGGTTACGATAAGGTTAGGTTGGGTTCATAGCGGAAATGGAGATGCTGACGATGAGTTTGGCCCAGTGGCGAGAACAGCAAAGCGATGATGGACGAGCAAGCAACCAAACAAGAGGCCATTTGCCTGTGTTAAACCTATAGCAAGCACCACGCCAGCAGAGACCATGCTTCAACTGATAACACGTTCCATAGGAAAGTTACAGGATAGGCGTTCGAAGTGGAATCGTGTTAAGTCTCTACACAAACTTACTATATTTAGGTGCCCTTAGCTAAAACCGCTGCACAACGAGTAAAGGTATGAAAATGGGATCAAAACTTCCTAACCATCACGGAAAGAGCTGTTTGAAAAAAGCGTTCTATCCTCGATGCCTTATCAAAATGATAATAGAAGATTCTGCCACTGGGGCGAAGCACAGGCGGAGCTCAGCGAAGGTCTGGCAGCCCCAGGGCGCTGCAACTAGCGTTCAGCCGCAAAAGGCCACATATCGGTTCCCTCGGCCCCTGGCTACTGCCTACACTGATGCATATTCTTCCATGCAGCAAACGGACTTCATCGTACCTCTCGTCTTAAACTAGGTACTGTGTACGAAGTACAAAGCCAAGCCTTTCAGGTTTGATTGACTTTAACTTGTCGAAGAGTATCTCTTTCAAATGAGCCCGCGTTATGAACAGTATGTAAGCTCAATCCTTGTGAAAGGTTCAAAGCACAAAACTGCGAGAACCCCTCCGCTAACTTGTCATCTCCATAAATTTTCATGAGTTGTTTTTTGGAAAGCAAAAAATAATTTTGATTAAGAGGTGTTGTATTAGGAGAAGTATCAATTGAGCCTCGACAGTCGTTAGTTGCCTTCTGAGCAAGGGTTTTCGAATAGAGAAACACGGTTTTGCATAATTTTGACTTGAGGAAGATTCCCACTTTCAAATGGCAGGTGGTCAGCTGTGGGGATCGGAGTATCAGCATCTCTAAGCAAACATGAAAAATAAAGCGCTCTCGGAACGCAACGCTTGATGCTCTCATTTAACAGGAGCTTGATTACAAGGCACAAAAATTGATTTTCAGGCTGTTTAAACAGTTCCGAGAGATGAGAAATGACTGTAACGTGGAATGGAGGCGTAGCTATTGGCGGTCAATGCTGAGATAATAAAGAGCTAAAATTAAAGGTAGGGATCCGGGCAGTGCCAATCAAGTTTTTGCGCCAAACAAAGCCGAGCTTCGGTGCTAACGCCCGATCTCAATCAGGACGCGAGGCAAGATCAGGGTCAGCCGTCTGTTGGTGTTCATTAACCCATTCGTGACAATGTCAGCCACCGGTGGCTGACAAAGCTCTCACTCGGGACAATGGCATTACTGTGGCTGCAGGGCTTCAAATGGAATTTGGAAAGTTTTCTTCCATGAAAGAATCTTCATACCCTCGCTCATCTACGCCAGCCCTGGGCAGAGGAAATCTCCCTCCACTCAAATTTTATTGAAGAAAAATCTCCTGACTCTGCTGCTATTGCGCAATCCTGCGCGGTCGCGAATGGGTTAAGGATGAGGGGTCTGTCTAGTCCACGGAAGGTGGTCGTAAGTGCAAGGGCTACAGGTGGAACGCGTGGCATTATTCACCTCAGGAAAGATCTGGAAGAGAGCATATCGCTGTAGAGAACTTAGTATGAAGCTTAGCCTGAAAACGTCGTCAAACAGCTGTACTTTCGTACATCATCGTATCCTTCTCCATGGCGTTACGCTCGTCCAAGCATTCTCTATTTCATTCTTCCCTCGACCCGTTCCTTCAACGACGCCTGGAACTCTTACCTAATACCTCCAAGCCAGCGCGACCGCTTCCTTGAACTCATTGGTGGCCCGCCCGCTGCTATTGCAGGGAGGGGTAGACATTTCATTGATTCCCCAACTTAATAAAAGGAGAGTGTGCCGCGCATTCCACAGTAGGAATTGTTGAAGCCATGCTCTTAAATTTCAAATTACTGGAAGCTAAAAAAGTTTTTCAGAGCAATGATGTTCTGTAACAAAACTGTGGTCTAAGGAAGCGCAATGATGTTAATAATTATTTTTCGAAGGCTCAACGGATTTTTTGCAAAATAAACATACAAGCTAAATTTTTAGCAAGATCACCACTAACTAGTGAGCGAATTTCGTAGTGTTCCAGGCACCACTTGTTTCCAAGAGAACTGCTTCAGAAAAAGGTTATGCTATCTGAAACTCGAAATCTGCCTTCTTAGGGAAAGCACTGTGCAGCCACTCCAGCCCCCCCCCTAGAGCAAAAATTAACCAAAGGGACTTATATTTTTATGTTTCTGATTTTCAGATCAGTTTTCTTGAATTCTATGGGAAGCTCTAATCTCGTAGCTCATCATACTGGCTTAAGATTTCCAAAACTACAACTCTGTATCAGCCATGATCGTCCAAAGTTTGAAAACTCGTTCCTTTAATAAGATCCGTAACCTAAAATAATTCAGCGGCGGGATTGATTTTTTGTATTAATACTTTTCGAAATAAGATAGT